GTTCTCTGGGGGGAGAGAGAGAGCCTTTCCATGTTCCTTGTTGTGATACAGGTTCGATCTGCTAGGTCAGCTCTCTGCAGCCTGGTATTTTCCAGATGTTTAGGGTTTCCATTCCCCCCAGCCCTATTAGAATCCATCCTCCCAGGCATTTGCAGGCCTCTCCTTCGGCTCAGACTGCTGTTCCAAAGCAGGCAGAGTTGGGAGGAGGTTTGCAAAGGTTCAGTGTAAATAAGGTCATTCCATTCTGATCCAAGTGTAATTTTTTTTTAACCACAAAACTATGAAACAAAGTAGACAACAGTATGAAGAGAAAAAACACTAACCTTGCTTGAGGCGACTTCTGGCATGGAGGACAGGAAGGTCGGAGGGGAGGAGGGTATTGTTTGGAGGGAGAGTCTGTGACCGCGACCTCGACTGGAGGAAGCCGCGACTACACGTCAGAGCAGGGAAGATGGCCACGATTGTGAACATGCTAGGAAAGGAGAATTCCTCAACTCACTGCCATATGCATGTTTGTGACTCTGGCTCATCTTCCTCTGCTCCAGAAGTTGTGGAATTCATGTTCCAAGAATCCCAGCCAGCGATGGTCAGCAATCCTGAGAACTGTAGTGAAAAACATTTGGAGAGCACCAGGGTGGGGGTGGGTGATAACGTCATTCAAAATCAACCTACTTTCACACAAGGGGAATTGGCTTTGCGTGTGCAACATTGCTGTGAGAGAATGAGGGAAACAAAAACGTGGGAATCCATGGAAGGTTTCCAATCCAGGCCGCGCAGCACATTCTTTCTCAGTCTAATGCTTGTAGGCGTGTGTGCACTGGGGAGAATGAAATTGTGCCACTGCTCCTTTGTGTCGTGAGCCGCGATTCCTCCTTTGTGCATTCAAAGGCAACAGACCTTTTTCTTTGCAAAAGTGTTATTCATTGACCACAAAACCCCAGAATGAATCTCTGAGCATGCACAGAGCAGTCTGCAGAAACCAGTCTAGTGTTCACCACCAGGAATGCTCCTTATGAGCCTGCCCTGCAGGGGCCTTCAGGAAGCGGACACGCCTCCTCTCCACGTCCTTATCCTCTCATTGGGCTCCTGCCGCATCATGGGTCAAGAGCTGGGGCCACCTAATCCGTGGGGGAGAAACTCCCCTGCCCCGAGTCCCTTCCTGCCAGCCGTGCACCTTGGTAATTCCCAGAGACTGCCTGCCCGCCTGGGGAGCCTCGTCTTGACACCGGCACCTCCGCTTCTCTCATCAGTGTCTCGGGACGGCCCTCATTTCCACCCCTCACCCTGTTCTCCTTCGGATTGATTTCCCTGCAGTGCAGCCAGCAGTCCTTGATGAAGAGTGTCCAAAGCAGCCTTCTTTTTCACTCCCAAACCTTAGTTTCCTGAGAGGCCTGGCATACCCGGCCATCCCGCTATTCCAAAAGAATGTCTCCAGTCCAGCTGCTAAGTCTGCAGCCTTCTCTGTCATAGAACGTCTGGCTACGTGGTGCCAGGGTGAATCTGCCACGTAACGTCTGCCACGTGCTGAAGGAGACTAGGCTGCTCCTCAGGTTTCCCGGGGGCTCATCCCACTCTTTCCACGAAATGAAGAGCGGCACCCCGTGAGCGAACGAGAGGTCTTGCTCCCAGCCAGCCTCTGCCGGACGAGTGGTGCAGAAGGCTTCTGCTGTTGCACGTCTGTGTACCGCGGAGGACGCACTTGGATCTGTCGATCACGGATATTAGGCACCTGGTGTGCCTTCGTGTACCGGCACCTAAAGAGCCAGGGAGGTGCTGCGGTTCCAGTGTTGGAATGGAGACCTGGGAGCCCCAGGCTCTAGTTTCCACTCAGCCATGAAGCTCCCCGGGTCACTTTGGGCCAGTTGCTCCCTCTCAGCCCAGCCTACCTTACAAGGTTGTTGTGAGAATAAAATGGAGCTATACAACCGGCCTTGGGCTCCTCACAAGAGGAAAAACAGTGAGTGTAAATGCTATATAATACTTATAATATAATACAAGTTTTAAATCCTTTTCAGAAAATCTAGTTTCTTTGAAATTAGTTATAAGATATGTACAGACAAGTTTTTTTTTAAAGACAAGGTAGGCTAAAAGTCAGCCTGATCTTTGTGGGGTTTGGTGATTAAGCTGTGTGTCTGTTCCTAGGTCCGTCAAGTCAGGAGAAAGAAGATGAAATTGAGCAAGAACCAGAGAGACAGGAGAAACGTCCTGTCAAAGGTATGTCCATCTCTGTTACCACACTCAGAGTTTCCTAAATATTGGGTTCTACCCATTCTACACTGGAACCTGGAGTTGTATTGCCAGATCAAGGGGACAAAGCCAGTAAGATTATTACAAGACCCAGAATTAGGAGCAAGACACATCAGAGGTGATCTTCATATTTTTCTGGAAGGATATTTTGCCTACCCAGCTGGGGCATGTTGGAGAGGGAGGGAAAGAGGCTGGAGAGTCTTCAGAACAGCTCCCGTCCCAGCCAGTCAAGCAACGTCTCCTCTCACCAAAAGGCGCTCTTTCCCCCTGCCTGAGGCTGAGCCCCCGACCTCAGAGCCAAGC